GACAAAAATAATTATTCCATTATATTCATGGTAACGAAACATCAACTAAAAAAAATTTTAATAATTGAAACCTAATTTAGAAGATAGTTTGATTATTACTTGAAAATTAAGAAAAAGATTTAAACTAAAATTTAATGTTCTAAAAACTAACAAAAATGTTTTGAGAGGCCATACTTGCCCAATCTGTGTTGTAAGAGTATTATTTGTTCCAAAAGTATTTGTACTGCAAATAACCCAGTGCTACTTGGATTGTTGTGCCAAACAATCCACCAGGTTTGCTGCTGTGTTAGTACCTCCAAATAATGAATTTGTCGTTCCTCCTAGATTAAACCAGTTCCTGAATATCAATTCATTAAGCATTTATGTATGACTATGTAAAATAAATGAATTATATTTTATCATTTTTCTAATTCAATTATAATGATGAAGAATAAAAAAAATTCATCTTGTCAAAGATAACTTAAAAAATAATAAATATAAATAGATTTATCTAAAAGCAGTTCGTCTTATGAGAATTTATTGAAATGCTATGTTAACTGTATGGCCGTGTTGTATTTTACAAAATAAAACTTCTTACCTAAAGTGGTGTTGGTAGAAGTGTTTCCAAAACCAAAGTGCTAGTTGCTGGTTTGTTAAATGTATTATTAAATAAAGAGTTTGAAGTAGTTGTTTGACCAAATCCTCCAAAACCAGTACTAGTGGCTGGTGTCCAAACCTACAAAAAATTTTATGTCATAAGCTAATAGTTTTTATTACAATTAATGCATCGTCTTTTTTTCGATATAAATTTCAATTAGTCAATTATGATAATTCAAATATATTTTATGTAATGTATATTAATAAATAAAAAAATAAATATATATATATATATATATATATATATGATAAGTAAATACCTGTATTTGTTGCACCAAATCCAGTAGTAGCTGGCTTGGCACCAAATAAGCTTGAAGTAGCTGTAGTTGTTGTTGCTGTCTGACCAAAAGCTCCAAATCCTGTGCTGGTTGAAGCAGGCATATTGAAAGGGCTACCTCCAGGCTTAGCACCAATAAACCAGTTGACTGCAAGATTCAATAAAAGTATCATGCTTTTAACTATCATTTTAAGTAATAATTTAACTCTAAAAAGTTGAAAGAAAGAACCTATACCTGTGTAGTGGGTGTTCCAAAACCACTAAAACCAGGAGTAGTTGTGCCAAATGTACTTGTGGCAGGTTGTCCAAAAGTCCAGTTTGTGGTGTGCTGGTTCCGAATGGTTTTGCTTGAGTGCTAAAATTAAATAGTCATTTAATATATATGAAAAAAAAAAAACTTCAATTTTCAATGTATACAAACTGACTTAGCTCCAAACGTATTTGTATTGAAAGAAAATGCAGATGTAGTGGTTGCAGCTGGTTGAGCGCCAAATGCTGTAGTAGGTTGGCACCAAATAATGAACTAGTTCCAGACTGTGTAGTTGCTCTCCAAATGCAGGAGTTGTGCTACCAAATCCTAAAAAGTTTCAGTAAATTATAAGTTTAAAAGCATAAAAATTTAAAATGGCTTAAAATTACTGTGGTTAACAATAACAATAAATACACAAATAATTTAAGAAACTTAAAATTTAAAATAGAATATTTTAATTTACCTAAAGCTGGAGTAGTTGAACCAAATAATGACTTATTTTCTTGTTGCCCAAATATTCCTCCTGTTGCTGGAGTAGAAGTAGCTTGCTGACCAAAAAGACCTGTTTGAGGTTGAGCCATACCGAAAGGACTAGAAGTGCCAATGCCACCAGATTGAGGACCTTTGCGATTAGCCATATAATCTTCAAGTCGTAATTCTTCTAAAGATTTGCCTTCATATTCCTAACACAAAGTATTGTTACCATATAAACAATAATCTATCAATCTAATTACTAACTATTAAAATACAAAAACATACTTGGATATAAAAATTTATTTCATACTCAACCTCTGAAGTAGCTATGAGGAATATATACAATATCAACATATTTGAATGAGAAGAATGGAAGCAGAAAGAGGTCATAAATATACTATCTATTTTTTCTTTACTAAGGAGTGCATTGCACGACAAAGAAGGCCACTTTTGAAGTTAAAAATATGGGAAAAATATAGGAAGCTTACCTTCATACATGTAATACAATGATGTTTCGTATTTATTGAAGTGCTTTGTCCACTTTTAACCATCATATCAGTACCCGTGACTGATAACTTGATCACTGTCCCAGTAGAACCACTTGCAAAACCTATATACAAGTTGTTTTACACTAGTTCAAAATCTGTTTACATATCTTATTTAATTATCAAAAAATAAATAATAATTACAAATTGCATATTTACTGCAATTTGCAAACTCAGAAAAATTGGAAACAAAATGTGTCTTAAACTGATGAGAAACATCAATCTGTCGATTTTTAATGCAACTGTAATAAACTGTATTTCTGAATTTCTTTAGCAGAATTAAAATACACACTAACAAAGGATGATATATTTTATAATGTAAAATTTTTACAACTTGATGATAAATCAAAATAATATATTTTAAAATAAAAATTATTAGATATTTTTGCAAATTTGATATGTAAATTTATTTTCATTCACAACATAATTGTCTAGTCAGTACAATAACTTTCTGAAATTTATAACTTGCCATAAAACTATCTTAAAAGATTTTATGATATTTTTCATGTAAATGTTTGAAAGATTTGATTTTATGTTAGTTGAACATTCTCAAAATTTAAGTTTAAAAAAAGCATTTACTACTAAGTACAAAAGTAATCTTACTAGTATTCCCAAACAAGCCTGTGCCAGGTTGAGTAGTGGCGCTTTGACCAAATAAACCAGTAGTAGTAGGAGCTTGAGTTGAAGCAGTTTGTCCAAATAGACTACCAGTAGATGGTGTAGCACCAAACCCAAAAGTAGACCTTTATTAGGTTGACCAAAAGCTGATGTTGTTGTGCCTGCACCAAATAAGCTACCAGAAGTACCTGCTGCTGATCCTGGAGCATTGCCACCAAACAAGAAGTGCTTGCAGCTGGCTGGCCAAAACCTTAAAATGAAGACACGATATGTATTTGACAATATTGAAAATTCAATAGAAGAAAGCAAACATTTATTCCAATAAAAAAATAATAAATTGTATACAGGACATAACCACTGAATATATTTCAGACATAAATAAATTTTAAGTGAGTCTTGACAATAAGTTTTGTTCAAATATAATAACCATTACTAGGTGTATGTGGTATATTACCGAAGGCAAGTTGTATAGAGTTCCCAATTTGTGTATATTAACCAAGAATAAATTTGAAACAAATGCATGATCGACTTGTATTAATTCATTATGAATGCAATCTTTCATTAATTATTTGACACACTTAATCTTTGATGTTATGTACATGTACATACCAAATGATTGTGTAGTAGAGGGTGCCCCAAAAGCAGGTGCAGCGGCTGGAGTTCCAAATAAGCCAGTTGCTGGCTGAGCTGCATTACCAAATAGGGATGTCGAGGAAGTACTAGCTCCAAACACAGTAGGGGTTGCACTAAACCCAGCAGTTGCAGGTTTTCCTATTGTTGACAAAATAGCTTAATATTTGTAATAATTGAACAATAATTTTAGAAATAATTAGAATAATAATGCAATATACATGTGATTAGATATTAATTTGGAAATATGAACACACAGCAATCTTTTTACACTTATTTATTAAATAATTTTGATTTTACAAATGTTTTGAGACTAGGCTTGTCTCATCCTCAGTGCAAAATCATTTATAATAATTAAAATATGGATGTAGAAATACATGCTAACTGTTACATAAAAGTTACGGACCTAGTCTCGAAACGTTTGTAAAATTATTACAATTAAAAGTAGTGTTCATATTTCCAAATTAATATCTAATCACTCATAATACTTTTGATATATATATATATATATATATATATATATATATATATATATATAATATGTGCTCCTTACCAAAAGTTGATTGTCCAAATGGACTAGCATTAGAAGGAGTGCCGAATGTGCCAAATCCTGTCGTACTAGTTGAAGTACCAAAACTCGGTTTAGCACTTCCAAACATTTTGAAATGAATTTGAAACTAAGTTCTGAACTAGATGGTTTTCCTATGAAGTTTTGTTCTCATAACCTAAAGAATTTTTGATATAACAAAATTATGCATTGACTTTAACATAAATATGTACTAACTACTTACTACAAAGAAAATCGTGCGAAAATATACTAAAAAATTTGCTTTATGCCAGTATATAACTGTCATCAGAAGGTTTCGTATTATAGTGCAATAAGTAGCATCAAGGATATTGAACATATGAAATAAATACAAGTAAATATTAAAATAAGAATTATGTTAAAAAAAGAAATGCACAAATACCAAGATTATTAAATTAATTGCTTAACAATATCAACAAGTTCAGGCGCAAAACATTATTGTTAAAAACGTTTTATTTTAAATCGCATTAAGTTTACCTTAAGAAAGCGCATATGATATCATAAAATATATAATCTATATAAATGAACACAAAATACAATATGTAAAATACTTATTACACTAATTTTGAATATATAATCACAATAAAAACACATCTATCAAAATTTCACTCTAGAAAATAAACCAAAGAGACTGTTTGTAACAGAATTTTTCGACCATACCATGACTCCATACCATAGAAACAAAAACACGCCAGACAGATGGTATCATACTCCTCTTTTATCTATGGATGGCGCGTAACCATAGATAAAAGAAGAGTATACAACCATAGATAAAATATAAATAAGCATAGATAAAAGAAAAGTATACTTTTTATCATAGATAAAAGAAGAGTATATTTATGTATGCTTTTTATTTATTTAAAGAGAAGTGTACTCATAGATAAATAGGTATAAAAATGTATTTTCTATTTTCTTCAACAAAGAAAAATTGAACTCGAACGTGGATAAGGAAACTCGAACATGGATAAGGAACTCGAACATGGATAAAGAACTCGAACATATATTACGAGATGTTAAGGAACGTTTGACTTTGAAGGTGATTTGTAAAAAAAAAAAGTAGGAAAGTGAACGAGCTAAAACTGTTCTATTCAATAAATTAGACTTATGAGATCATTATAGATTAAAATTTTTCGGCGTAGAATTTTATTTATAGAATTAATCGGCATTTTGCGGTACCACTAGTTTGTCTCTAATTCCGTGATAAAATTCGGCTCGTGACATAATGCCCGGAAATAAGTAACAAAAATTGTGTACTTTCTTACGAGTGGTCATTTCAAGCCCAAATATTAGGGTTAATAATTAAAAAAAAACATATACCGTAATTACGTTACAGTATTCTGTAGTCATTACCAATCTTATTAACACCAGAAACACTTCCGAATTTAATCACAGATGAAAATAAAAGACAAAAATATTTCAAGTCTACTTTTCGTAATTGCGGGATAATCACGGAATCATAGATAGTGGAAAAGTATAAGAAGAAGAAGATCACGGAATCACCCTAGATAAATAAGCATAAATCACGTTCACTGGCTCAGTTGTGTGAACCTAATTAGGTAAGTCATGAAATAGACAATTTGTTGACAAATGTATGCTCGAATTAACTATAAAACTAATCTCTTATTAATACTGATCAATAATTTCACAAATTTGAATCGATTAAAAGCTTATCGGCATCGAATAAAAACCTTAAGCAATGGAACCGCCATATTAACCTAGCTAACAAGCTAGTACAGAGTGGCAATCGGGTTACGACCGATGCGCTCAAAAGCTTTTACGGCTACAAAAACTAATATTTAAATTCGAAAATCGTGCTATTTTGTTGAGATTCAAATTTTAATTGATGTGCTATTGTATATAATTATTATTTACCGATGGTTTTCTTATTTTGCGATCGAAATGAAAAACTCCCGGAATAATGTACATTTACCTTACTCTTCTTTCTGGATCTGAATATAATTCAGTCCATAGATAAATAAGATAAATAAACATAAAATAGATCATTCGGCCACTCAGCACATTTGACATTCCTCAATATTCAAAACTTCGACAAACTAATACCATGTAATTTTTTTTGAAATAAATGTGAAATTGAAAAGCAGCGGCAAGTTCATAAAAATGTCAATAAAATCGACATGCCTCTACATGGTGGCCAATTGATGAAACTCGTTGCCCTGGCGACAAATGTTTTTTGATTCTGCTCTCATGTGCTGGCAAGAGAAGCTTAGGATAAAATCAGGGCAATAAGTTTTACAGAGAAGAGCTTGCCCGCTTCTTATTTCTAACGTTTTTTAAATGTAATGTAAAGAAGGTATTAAAGTAATAAGACATTTTTGGCAAAACCCTCAGTGCACATAATGTGTACTGCATAATTCAAATTTGGATATTTTATTTCTTAAAATATTAACTTTATTAGATAGTATTAAAATTTTTAGAACAACTTACGTTTTATGTAACATTTTGAATTTTCTTCGACAACTACATTCCTATCCACCGCATAAAAAATTCAATATAACGAACTTGTTTATTATATGTAATAGATTATGAAATTTATTTAATATTTAATATTTAATAATTTATTAATTATTTGTTGTGTGACTTCTTTTATACGTTCCCAAAAGCCGCACAAAAACAGGATCTAGTTAGAAGTATTGTTATAACTATAGTTATTTAATTTTGCACATTGTGATTTATTACTTCATTAGTATACTGAGTTTATTACTTTATTAGATAGATTCGTGTCTAAATTGTTACATAACCACTTACATAATATGCAGATTTAAAAAAAAATGAAACAATCTGTTTTAGAGATTTATTTTTATTTATTTTATACGTTAACACTATTACATATAGATTCTTCTTCATTACTCCCCTTAACACGTTGACTGCGGGTGTCGACAATGTGTCAACATCCCCTTCTTCTCTCCTGTTGCGGCTGTCGAGAATACAATAAATATTTTAGAGCAAGTTTAAATGTCAATTGTTACTTTCAACCTCATAAATTGTTACAACCTTTTGCACTTTTATAAAAAATAAACAAAACACAAACAAAAATAAACAAAAAGATCATCTATTTTGATGTGGCTGCCGACAAGGTATCGACAGCTTTCGTTCTTCAAAAGAAGAAAAATACTTCATAATATAATCGAATTAGAGGAAAACCAAACTGTTTTGCAAATAAAACGTTTTAGCATAGGAAAACGATATGGCTCCAAAGACCTCCGCAGTCAACGTGTTAACCTGCTCACAAACCATTCTGTAGTGCGAAATCATCGCTTTCGATTTTGCTTAAAAGCAAACCTCGATTTTATTTCATTTACCAATTCGGTTAGTTCCTGCATTTCTCTGGTGCGCAATTTTTCCAGTAGTTTTTCTACTGGAAACAACTCCTCACACGTCGCTTATCATATTCACATATTCTCTTTATTCACTTTGATTTTTAATAAGATTTAGTAAGATTTTTCCTATTGCATAATTATTAACTTCCCGAAGGAGAAGTTTATGTTTTCATCAAAAAATCCGATCCGCTAATTTTATGTTTTCTCGACGTTTCAAGCCATTCTGAATCGAATGAGACCAAATTTGGAAAAAGTATGTATGTGTGTGTGTGCGTGTGCATCAACAGATTTTTTGCCGTAAATCGCCGTTTTCTCAAAAACGGCTAGACCGATTTCAAAAATTTAAAAGCCATTCGATGTATCTCGATGAGGACTATTGTGTGTCAGTGCGACGATCGGCCAAGCCGTTTCTTCGTAAATAGCAGAAAAGTGAAAAACTTTTCTTCCACGTTTTAGCTCGCAATTCTGAATCGATTTTGAAAATTCAAAAATCGTTCGAAAGATATTGGTTGGGAATCGACCTGATTAGTTTTTGGTAGAGATCGGCCGGGCCGTTTTCTTGTAATAAGGTGTTAAAAAATTTTTTTTCGTCGATTTTTATTATTATTTTTTTGACGGTAGATACTATAGTCTTCTAGATCATACTAAAATATTACGGCCCTACGACAACTCGTTTAGCTTTAAAAGTTCGTCAAAGTTTGCAAAAATTAGTATGGTCTTTTTGGCATTTGTCAAAATTAAAACTTTCATCGACGTTTGCTCAAAAACGCCTAAACCGATTTCAGAAATTTGAAAACCATTTGATGTATCTCGATGAGGATTATCGTTTCTCAGTTTTGTGCGACGATCGGCCGAGCCGTTTTCTTGTAATTTGGAAAAAAATGTTAAACTTTTCGTCCACATTTAAGCTTATACTACCGAATCGATTTTAAAAAATCAATAATTGTTCGAAAGATATTAGTTGGGAATGATACTAATTAGTTTTAGGTGAAAATCTACCGAGCCGTTTTCTTGTAATTAACTGTTGATAAAAAAATTTAAGCCGATTTTCGTAGAACTTTTTTTGGCGATATATATCATGGTCTTACAGAACTTACTGAAATATTACAGCCTTACAACAAGTAGTTTAATTTTAAAAATACATCAAAGTTTGAGAAAATGAGTAGTTCTTGTGACATTTGTTAAAATTAAAATTAGATGATTTACTTGGTATAACGATAGAGTACTTGGTCTTAATGAACATACTAAACAATTAAAGTCCTACAAAAAACTGGCTCAATTATAAAAATTATTGATTTTTGAAAATTTGCTTTTAAAAAATACTCCGACCGGGTTGACGTGTTCGATTTTCAATAATGTGTAATAAATCCACTTCGAATACTTTTAACTACTCATAAATTAATTTACCTATCATAGATTAAGTCGATTATTTACACAAATCGGGAATTCATGTAACTTGCCTCAAGGCAAAATACCAATACCAACTAGTTTAATATGGTATTCATCGCCTTTTTGCTCCAACAATCTGAATTTTTTTTGTGATCAATCATTACTCTTTTGCCACTGTTCTTTTTAATTTTTTAGGTTTCTAATAAGATGAAAATCTGTTTCTTTCAAGTCGCCACCGTCTGAACCGCTTGTATTAAGATATCAAAGCCAAAGCTCTTTCTAGGCATTTAAATCTGCGTTTATGTCGATTGCAAATTGGACCAGATTTGACTTTGACTTATTCTGGTTCTTCATGCTACTTATACAAAGGGAAAAGAAATCTAAGTAGTACTTTTTGTTTTCTTTCTTTTTATTTAAATAATTTTTTATATTTCCGTTTGAATTTGTTTTGTTTCAGAATTTTTTATAATTGTATATCAAAATTAAAGTGTGATTTCGTAGGTTTATTCTATCGATTAATCGATCCGGTCAATTTTTCGCGTGTTTATTCATGAACGAAAACAGACACATCGTTAGTTAAGTCAGATAGAATAAATTAGAAATTAGAATGCTGTAAGGTAGTAAGCTCAAGTGCAGACCTAGAAAAAAACTAGAAATACAGATTGATTAAAAAAAAGATAAATAGCTAAATTAAAGGTAGGCTATATAAAATTATTGAGAATTGCCACCTTGAAGTAAAAAAGATGAAAATAGAAACGCGCAGCTGTTTGTTTCCGCCGCTGTGAAAATTTGTTTGTTTGTAAAACAT